GTGAATAAAGGGAAGTATGTGAGGAGCAACGTCCAATGTCCAGACACTAGCCCCTCCACATGACTTCACTGAAAGGGTTGTCGGGTAGGGTACCGTATATGAACGCGGATAAGCCGACCCCGTAGATAAGCCGAGGTGTTAATTTGACCATTGAAATACGAAAGAAAATGATATGACCCGCAGATAAGCCGAATCAGGAATTGAGAGACAAAAAACACTGCGAAGTCGGACTGAAAGACATGTGTTGGTACTCGCAGATATTCAAAAATATAAGATGAAAAATGTTGTAATTATATTGAAATTCGGCTTATACGCGGTCATATACGGTAATACTGAAATCATCGCCCCGGGGCAAGGGCGTCAACTGACTGATAAAAGTCCAGTTTCCACCCTTGCCGAACTAGGCTGGTATTATGGAGTTGTATTTCAGCTGTACTAATGAGTCTATGTATAGTCCAATCAAAATGGCGTAATGAAATGAACATCCGGTTTGTAAACTGCCGTGCAGATTTTGGTCGACTGCAGGATTTGCAAAGCATATGTTCCCTCAACTTATATCAACAGATATTTTCCAAATCTTTCCATGTTTTTAATCAAGGTGCTCATGTGATTTGATGCACTCTGCGATGTAAGGCTTGTTTAATCACAATATAAATCTTGATTATCGATCAGATAGCTTTCACTGGGCGCTGCCATTTTGTTTGAAACAAAGGCGAGTGATATCACAGGTGGAATCTGATTGGTCAGTAGTGGGTGAGTGAGTGAGTATGGTTTTTCGCCGCTTTTAGCAATATTTCAGCAATATCACGCCGGGGGACACCAGAAATTGGCTTCACACATTGTACCCGTGTGGGAAATCGAACCCAGGTCTTCGGCGTGACAAGCGAACGCTTTAACCACTTGGCTACCCCACCGCCCTGATTGGTCAATAGAAGGGACATAACCACTGGTGGCGCTACGATTGAACCCAGAAATTCCAGTCAAGTTCAGCAAGGGTGGAAACTGGACGTTTATAGTCTGTAAACTCCCTTGCCTCAAGAAGATGTACCGAAATGTACCCTAGGTATTCTGACAGAAATAGTCTAGCTGAGCACTGAATGGCATTTCTCTCCCTCTCTCCCTCCCACTCTCTCATTACTGCTTACTTACTTACGTGCCCTTTCCGATATTATGCGTGTTTCACACACTCATTACTGTTACAATATGTCTACTTATATCGGGGACTATATTGTATCATCCAATTCACAACCTGCGGGGATACAGGGCGCACTGAGGTCAGAAGCTCGTTTGCATTCCTTCTGACTTTTATATGTTTGAGTAAAGATAAATCTTTAGTCAACTGCGGTGTATGAATGATAAGATCGTTTTTACGTGTATCGAAAAAGTTTTTCCAGGGTTCCTGTAAAACAGTTCCCAATCAGATTTTTGTACCAACTCTTAACACCTACAGTGGGTACCCAAGTACAGTAAAGTATGGTTATAACAAACTCAAAGGGACTACTAATTTTAGTTCGTTATAACCGTAGTTTGTTATAAGCATATGCAGCATAACTACAGCAAATAGTCGGGACCAAAAAAGTAAGTTTGTTACATCAGTCAGTTCATTATAAGCATGTTCGTTATAACCGTAGTTTACTGTAGTACATTTGGATAGTAAACATCCAGACACATACAAACTGAATTCTCAAAGCATTGTGATATGTCAATGTTTATGATAATCACACTCACAGACTATAGGAACTAGTGAGTGAGTGAGTATGGTTTTACGCCGCTTTTAGCAATATTCCAGCAATATCACGGCGGGGGACACCAGAAATGGGCTTCACACATTGTACCCATGTCGGGAATCGAACCCGGATCTTCGGAGTGACGAGTGAACGCTTTAACCACTAGGTACCCGACCGCCCCCCTATAGGAACTAGCTATTTTATATAATGTGTCTGTACACGGTGATAATACCCAGTATCTACCATGGCATACTAATACACAACAATAACAAACCCTTCTCGTCATGCAGTCCTGATGTAACAAGAGTTCTATGGCACTACATCATGTCAAAGTAAAACAACTGAAACAAACACAAATTCACAGGAACCAGAAAGAACCCACTAACAATACCATAGATATATAGAAATAAATATAAGAAGACATACACAACAAACAATATCAACCAATATCAGATGATTACAATAATGAAAAAACAAAGCAAGTAAGTATCTGGACAAGGCAAACAAATCTGTACACGACACAAACAAACCTAGGTATTTTTCACAGTCAGTCAGTCAGTGAGTGTTTTTCCACAGCAGTCAGCAATATTCCAGCTGTATCACAGTGGCCAGTGAAGAATTGAGTTATGGCAAGGCAAACCAGTGGTTGATAGCATAAGCACTGATCTACTCCATCAGGGCAATACACACAATCAGCAAGGTCACACCAGCCGGTCCTCATCAGTCATCTCTTACAACAAACACAGGGAAGGGGGATCTATTCTGTGATGTTGCACCCTACTTTCAGGACTTGTATTCTAGCATACAAGCTCCAACAGTCACTATTCAGGGTTGGACAGCCTCCGTGATCTAGCGGTAGAGCGTCTGCCCGGAGAACAGGAACGTCCCCAGACGCATCATACCAAAAGACGTTAAAAGATGGTACTTGTTGTTACCCTGTCTGGCGCTTGGCACTAAGGGGCTAAAACAAGGACTGGTCAGCTCGGAGTCAGTATACTGTGTCTGAGTGGGGTATTCATGTTAAACTGCGGCATGGTATCTCAGTGTCCTAGCACTATAAATCGGCATCTGTCTGGACTAGTACAAGCAGCCACACAAACACACACACGTACATGCAGGCTATATAAGTGCAATAATCTTGGACGCGACGTTAAACCCCATTTCCGCCGTGAATAGCTGGAAAATTGCTGATGCGGTGAAAACAATATTCATTCATTCATTCATTAAACCCCATTTCACCTCACCTCACCTATTCAGGGTTCTGGTCTCAAAGCAGAGCCCACATCTTCATGTTCTAAAAGGCCTGATACTTTTATTTTTTTATTTACAGATTTATAACGGTCCTGTCAGTAGGTTGGAAAAACATAAAAATTAGAAAATATTTCTGGTTTTTTTCTTGAGTATGTTAATGTGGGCAAAGTTAGTGACGCCAATCTCGTCAATGTTTGGACATTTTCTACTGTAAACATATAGGTAGGTTTCAGGAGGCAGAATAAAATGTTGTGATTTCAGATTTACTATTTGTCCACTTTTTATTATTTTAGGGCCAGCAGGCTGTATCTCCTGATAGGTATCTGCAGCAGTGAGGATGCTGGCTACATACAGCTACCCTGATAGCCAACAAGTTGGCCTGTTCACACAAACATAATGCTAAAGGCTTGGTTCCAAATGAAAAAGAAGTGTCAGTTCTACAGTGAGACGACCTCAAACTTCAAAACACAGCAGGTTTTATCTCCTAATTTGATCCCCTCAAAAGACTAAGACTTTGCATCATGGATGGTACAGTGTATATATATATATCCTCTAAAATAATACTGAATCCTGGAATAGTATGATGCTATCATCCTTTGAAAAATAACCAATGCTAGTCCATCATTACTGGATTTCAAAATATTACGAAAGTCAACAGTAATATACCACTCAACATTTGCTAAGGACCACATCTTTGACTAAAGATATTTGGTCCTTAGCAAATATTGAGTAGTCTGCACATGATAATGTAATGACATGTAATAATGAGTGAGTGAGTTAAAATTGAATGTTGCATCGGCGCTATTTCAGTCATATAGCGACAACATGTAATACTAATGACATGATATGGTCATATGAAAAAAAATCAAGGGATCTTTAACTTCTTTTGAGTAGTATACTTCTTGAGTCCCTTATGCACCTTTTTTGCATCCATTCAAAAACTTGATGTGTCAAGTAGGTAATTTGTGTCCGGTAAGACCCAGAAATAGGATAAATAGTCATTAGCAAACTAAATACAGGCCGCCTTTTTATTTTTAGCCCAAACCAGTAAGTACCACACCTTGCCCTATACAAGTCAACTTGACATGAAAGATCATTCCAGATTTCCGCCTATGTGTTCCCTTAACAAATGCATTTCAATATGATATCAAATAATTCAGCTGCCTGAGGATGATCAATAAATAACATCATAAAAATTGGCAAGTGTTAATACAATATTCTTCGCTACACATGATATACATAGCAAAACATAAAAAAATGTTCATGGCGTAGAATATGATAATTCATACAAAATATAAGTAACTTCTGTGCACCAAATTTAGCACTGTAAAGTGTCCACAACATTTTGCTTTTTATTCCAAAATAAATAATTGGATTTCATATTTTGTTATAAACATTTTTTGTGACCTTCCCGATTCACTCTGAACCATCCTCCACCGTTAATAAATGACCTGTCCCTTAAGACTGCAAAGTGTCATCAACACCATTGTGACTTTTATGTCAAAATAGATAACTGGAATGAGCTATTGAATGCAAACAAATACAGAGCACGAAATATTAGGTAAGGGGGGTATATACATATCTGACTGTGGATCACACAGACAATGGCCCTCACACTTTGGATAAAACTGATGCAAGCATATTTCAACACCAATCTCATTAAAATCAGATCTTAGTTCTCGCTACCGCTAAACAAACATCTGAGGACATCCCATTACGGGTCACGTCAGACCGACTTGCGCCAACTTTGACCGACCAATGGAATGACCAATCAGAAGGCAGCTTTCTTATGCTTTACGGCACTAATTTCAAATTGGCGACTACGCCTCAAAACATATTTTGACAAATTCTCGATTACAAATTTGAAACCTGAACAAAAGAACATTCTGGAATGGCTAATAGATGGTCTAGATTGTATGGATTCAGTTGTTAAACCTGTAACTATCGTTCGGAGTTAAAGTTTTCGAGGTTGCAAGATTAGAAATCACATTCTGACTGTCACTTTCATAATCTGGTAAGCGATGCTCTGATTAGTCGGATGAAAGGTCGTTCTGACGTGACCCCTAATGGGATGTCCTCAGATCTTTGTTTAGCGGTAGCAAGAACTGAGGTCTGATTTTAATGAGATTGATTTCAACGCAATGGTTGGGTAGTCAAACTTTGGATTGTCTCCCTTGAATTCTATGGGTTTTTTTTCCCAGAAGCACAATCTTTGTTGCTTAGTACATACCTTTGGTCGTCTGTTTGTGTATCTTGAGATATTCAATGGAAGAAAAGTCGGACAATTCTGTCTGACATGAAAGCATCATTTTTGCCAAATTAAGAATTTCTAAAATAGTCTCGTGAAAAACTTTAAAACAAGGCATTCACTCGCAGTACATCTGAAACTCTGAGAGTGGTGCTGTTGACCAATATGATTCCAACTATAATGTCATGACATTGCATGTAGCAAATGGCTGATAAAAGACGACATTTTGAAGATGGCTGCAATGGCTGTCATGTCCCAATTCTGAATTTATATTGACAAAAGACATCATTGTTGAGATCATACAGCCACGAATTCAGATAGTCAAAGGTTGCATCTGGGTCAAATATCAAAATAAAAAAAAGAGCATATTACGTTATTCTGCATAGCATCTACATATGTGACATAACATTCCATAATGACACACTCATAAATGACTGAGTAAAAGACTATATATTATCACTGCTAAAATCAGATTGGATTTCGCATGTTAGACTCCATGTCTGTGATCACGGATGCAAAGATTCAGTTTCATAGGCCTTTTGGTTTTAGAGGACACGTCCCAAAAAGACGGATGGACAAAGCACCATGACATAAGCTCACTTCACCCTTCAGTCAGGTGAGCTTTATAATAAAACAGAGATAAATGTCAAAATAACCTTTTAAGAGATAAAAATTAAGCAGGTCAGACGGTAATTTATAAAAAATAATTCTGCTTTAAGATCAATTAAAATTAAATCATTGATGAAAACAAGTATGGCCCACGCCATATTAATTTTGCAGTTAATAAGGGCACATACTGGCATTTCATAATTCAAATAGTCCAATACATAATCACATGTACATACAAACATCACCTGAGCAGCTCCACTTATAACATCAACTCATCAGCTTCTTGTTTGGGTGTGAAGTAAATATCCTTGGTCAACATTGAGTAGATACATCCTGACTGTTTCTTGCCGTCAATCCTTGGATCCACGGCTGAAGACTGGAAGGAGAATGCCACCTGGTGGATAACCAGAGTCACCAATCGCAAAAAATCCACACGGGATGGGTCCACTCTTTCCACAACGTCCCAAAAAGCCTTCACAAACCAGGACCCTTCTGATGGGCGACGAAATGCGTAATGACCTGGAAAATGTTCATGATGTTACTGATAACAGAATAGTATAATAAATATTATCTTACCTCCATGTCAGAATGTTGAGATCTGATAGGTTCACGTGATCTTGATAATAAATGAGGTATCCCACGCCGGAGGGAAATAAATTTCAGAGTGGGAATTTAAATCCCTTATACCCCATCATGAAGAAAACAGGCTGTACATGGATTTCTGGGCGGAAGAAAAAATCCCTTATACCCCGCCATGAAGAAAACAGGCTGCACATGGATTTCTGAGCAGAAGAAAAAATCCCTTATACCCCACAATGAAGAAAACAAGCTGCACATGGATTTCTGAGCAGAAGAATAAATCCCTTATACCCCGCCATGAAGAAAACATGCTGCACATGGACTTCTGCACATTGTTTACGTGTAAATATATGTCACATGACACTGCACCTGTTAACCTCAGGTAATTGGAACAGCTGTTTTCTATCAGTTAACAATTTGGTTCAATTCTTTTACAATGGCAGATTGAAACATGTTGACAAGATAAATTTGTTGAAGCAGTATCACTTTGGGTGCATATGGTTTAAGGTGTCCCTCTTTAGGTGTTTGTTCAAAAGGTGTTTGAACAAAAGCAAATACATCACTGTCAGGTACCATAAGGGAGTTACAGGCTTAAGTGAATCTTAAATATATACCACTCAAAACATCAGATTAATTTACACTACTACAGTTAATCTGGCACGCCATGCTTTTGTGAGTAGTATAGGTTTAACAAACACAAGGCTCTGAAGCTGATCTGTGAGTATTGTTTTGAGACACCACAGCTAGCAGAGATCGCATAAACAAGCATGGTTTGTTTCTTTGTTTCTTTGTTGTTTTACACTGCACTCAGCAATATTTCAGCTATATGACGGCAGTCTGTAAATAATTGAGTCTGGACCAGACAATCAAGTGATTGATATCATGAGCATCGATCCACACAATTGGGATACGATGACATGCATCAACCATGTCAGCAGCCTGACCACCCAATCCCGTTAGTCGCCTCTTACAACAAGCATAGTTGCTTTTTACAGGTTGCTCAAGACCTATTCTCTACCTGGATCTTCACGGGTCTCACAAGCATGGAAAGCTATAACACTGACATTCCTGGAGGGGTGGCATACACTATACAGAAGTCCTTGAAGCAGGGAGGGGGGGGGAGATGGTGTACTGGGGTTGAGTTAGAGACACAGCTATAACACTGACATACCTGGAGGGGTGGCATACACGATACAGAAGTCCTTGAAGCAGGGAGGGGGGGGGGGAGATGGTGTACTGGGGTTGAGTGAGAGACACAGCTATAACACTGACACACCTGGAGGGGTGGCACACACTATACACAAGCCCTTGAAGCAGGGAGTTGATGGTGTACTGGGGTTGAGTGAGAGACAACGCTATAACACTGACACACCTGGAGGGGTGGCACACGCTATACAGAGTTCTTGAAGCATGGAGATGGTGGTGTACTGGGGTTCTGTTAGAGACACAGCTATAACACTGACATACCTGGAGGGGTGGCATACACAATACAGAAGTCCTTGAAGCAGGGAGGGGGGGAGATGGTGTACTCTGGTTCAGTCATGGCATCTACTACATCCATGTCTTCCTCCTGGATCTCGACCCCATCGTCTAACTTGGTGCCTCTACATGCCTAAAAAACATCACACTTTGAAACATCTTCATACACCTCCATGTCATCTTCATAATTCATAACAGACTGGAGATTTAATACACTCAATAATCAATTACGGGTTTCAGCAAGAAAATAACACCATAAAAAATTCAACAAGAATTTGTCTGAAGATACCCCTATATTCTTAATTTTGAAAACACAGTAATTTAACTATTGATGAGTGTGACTGAATGATGCATAGTACCAAAGACAGAAATTTAAAAGCAAAATAACTGCAGCTTAGAACTGACTGAATACTAGTTGCTCAACACTCAACAGAATACAATGATCATGATGAGACATTGCAGAATGGTCATGGCTAAGAGTTATCTCCCCTAGTAGTCCCGCACCCAAGGGCTGTTCATATCAGATCCCTACACCGCATGCTTAGATCAGAATTCAACAATAATTAGAGAATAACAAGGAGGAATTGTGTCAAAATATTTTCAAAGCGTAGTATGGAATGGAAGTCGCCAGTTTTTCAAAATCGTGGCATAAACGAGAAAGCTGCTTTCTGATTGGTTAATATCAAACTCTTGTTAATTATTTCATGTTCGTTCTGATGTCACACGTAGTGGGTTGTCCTGAGATCTTTGTTCAGCAGGAGTGAGAACTAAGATCTGATTTTAATCAGATTGACCCTTTTCGGTAACATCGTCATATTCTCTCGTGGAATCCACATCAGTGTGAACAGGGCAGACAAAGAGCATCTCTCTAATCCATCAATCTAAACACCCAGAACCCTTGACAAAAATATATCAGATATACCAGTGTACCTACAGCATATACTACTCAAGAGAAGTTAACAACGCCTGATCCTTTCAAATTACTACAGTTCATCTGTCATGCCCCTACATTCAAATTACTACAGTTCATCTGTCATGCCCCTACATTCAAATTACTACAGTTCATCTGTCATGCCCCTACATTCAAATTACTACAGTTCATCTGTCATGCCCCTACATTCAAATTACTACAGTTCATCTGTCATGCCCCTACATTCAAATTACTACAGTTCATCTGTCATGCCCCTACATTCAAATTACTACAGTTCATCTGTCATGCCCCTACATTCAAATTACTACAGTTCATCTGTCATGCCCCTACATTCAAATTACTACAGTTCATCTGTCATGCCCCTACATTCAAATTACTACAGTTCATCTGTCATGCCCCTACATTCAAACTACTACAGTTCATCTGTCATGCCCCTACATTCAAATTACTACAGTTCATCTGTCATGCCCCTACATTCAAATTACTACAGTTCATCTGTCATGCCCCTACATTCAAATTACTACAGTTCATCTGTCATGCCCCTACATTCAAACTACTACAGTTCATCTGTCATGCCCCTACATTCAAATTACTACAGTTCATCTGTCATGCCCCTACATTCAAACTACTACAGTTCATCTGTCATGCCCCTACATTCAAATTACTACAGTTCATCTGTCATGCCCCTACATTCAAACTACTATAGTAATATTTAAGAATCAGGTGATCTTTAACTTCTTTTGCAAAGTATATTTCTTTCTGCTTTTAGAAAGTTTACCTGAAGTAAGAATATCTTTGGTTTGTCTTTCAGTGAAGGACAATGTTTGTCTCTGAAAATGTCAACCAAGTCGCGAGTGAATATGACTTTATCAGTTGTGTGGATAACATCTTCCCGCTTAGTGACGTTGGAGCGTTCAGGGTCTGTATACCGATATTCGTCTCCATGGGATGAGATGGCCACCATGAGACAGTCAGCATCACTGTGGTCCTCCATTGACACTGAAAGCAACAACTCACCAACATGGAGACAGTACTCATACAGTCAGGACAGGGAAACAGCAGATTATTTGTATATTTCACATTAAATTATATATTCATAATACTTATCCTATCTCACATCTATGCATTTCTTCCAAGTCCTTTCAATCCTTATGTGAAACATGTTTGAACAAGGTTTCCACTTTCTAAAAACATTTTGCCCAAACACATCCCAGCATCACCATGGTCACCACCCCAACAATTAAGTCTCCCACTGTAATCTCATGCATGAGAGTGAGTGAGTGAGTGAGTATGGTTTTACGCCGCTTTTAGAAATATTCAGGCAATATCACGGCGGGGGACATCAGAAATGGGCTTCACACATTGTACCCATGTCGGGAATCGGACCCAGGTCTTTGGCGTCTCATGCATGAGACCATACACCACTTGATCACCTGACTACCCCATTCTGTATCTTAGAACTGAGAGGCTAGAGTCGCTGTGATGGAGAGATGGTTGGGCGGGCATATAACGTGTGAGATAGGAAAAGCATATAAATATACAATTTAATGTCAAATTTACAAACGTTTTAACTTATCCTATCTCACACTATGCAGTAGGGACAGTGGAAGCCCACATGGATGATCTGTCCTTAGACATAACTGTGCAGACATCTGAGGCTGCAGGTTGTTTCAGTGTAGGTGTGGTAATGGTAAAAGAATGATGTGGCTGGGTTAGTCAGGTGATCAGGCTGTGTAAGGTCACAACGCACAAGATTACAGTGCATGACCCATTTGTATGGGTAGTGACCATGAAGATGCGAGGATATGTTCGGGCAAAATGTTTTTAGAAAGTTGAAACGTTGTTCAAGCATGTTTCCACATAAGGGTTGAAAGAAGGAGTGAGTGAGTTGGGTTTAACACCGCTTTTAACAGTATTCCAGTTATATCGCGGCGTGTCAGCTTAATGTGGGAGGAAAGCCTGAAGTGATGCAGGTCTCAGACGTTTACCACTTCGGTGAAACCCACGAGCACGGGTATGGTGCTGACAAACCTAGAAACATAATTGGGGCGAACCGGGATTCGAACCCACAATCATAGGTTTCTGGCGTGCCCAAGGGACGCAACTCTGCACAGCGAATCGTGGCGCCTTAGACGACTGGGCCACCCGTGCCCCCCTTGAAAGAAGAAGGAATGCATAATGTGAGATTGGATAAGTTTAAACATGTATATTTTTCTTTTACAAGCTTGTATAATGTTTAATGTTTACATGTATGATTTCAGCTGATGCACAATAACTATCTTTACGTCCCAACTTTGTCTGCACATGGAATAGCCAAGTTTTTGAAAGTGTCTTCTCTTCCTCTAGTGAGAGGTCTTATTTTAATCAGACCGCCTCCGTGGTCTAGTGGTAGATCGTCTGCCCGGAGAGCAGAAGGCCCGGGGTTCGATCCCTGGCCACGTCATACCAAAAGACGTGAAAAGATGGTACTTGTTGTTACCCTGTCTGGCGCTCGGTATTAAGGGGCTAAAACAAGGACGTGTCAGCTCGGAGTCAGTATACTGTGTCTGAGTGGGGTATTCGTGTTAAACTGCGGCATGGTATCTCACTGAGCTAGCACTATAAATCGGAATGACTCCGGACTAGTACAAGCAGCCACACACACATGTGCATGCACATCGCATTAAGCGCAATAATCTTGGACGCGACGTTAAACCCAATTTCACCTCACCTCTTATTTTAAATCGACTTTTACAGATCCACCGACCCTTAACACAGGAATGAGGAAAAAAGTATAATTCCAGTTAATTCCCTTTTCACGAACTGTTAGCCTCATCGTGAAACAACAAAACATCACGATTTATGTCTTTGTATGACAAAAGCAAGGGGTAAAATCAAATTCAAATGTTCAATAACTTGTAAACATTTGCTCAAGCCACAACAAATAATATGTATAGCTACACTGGTAATTAAAGAAGTGTGTTGCTTTGTTCCAAGGAGTAAAGGCTCATTCACAAAACACCAAAAGAAAATAAAGAGAATTTGAAATCTTATTTTCTCTCTCATCTTACTGAAATTTATTTCATGTGCAGAGATGTTTCTCTTTGACACAAACAAATCTCAAACATACATCACTCCTCCCATATTAAGCATATCAAGTTGACTTACAGATTTGTAACTGAAATAATGTCAAAATACAACTCTTCTTCAACTTAAAGGCAGTGGGGTAACCTAGCAACTAAAGCATTCTCTCGTCACACTGAAGGCCCTGGGTAGTTCCCCACATGGCTACAATGTGTGAAGCCCGTTTCTGGTTCCCCTGCCTTTATATTGCTGGAATATTGCTAATAGTTGCAAAAAACACTCACTCACTCGATCACTCACTCACCAACTTACCTGCCAAAAACCAGTCCAACATGTCTCCAGCATTCATGTTGTACCGTATTCTGATGTCTTGAGGACTGAAACCAAACTTGATAAACGTCTTCTCGAAATGCTTCACATCATGTTCCGATCCCTGCCGAGGGGCTTGACCCTGGAACTTGTCATTACACACAATAAGGGCCACACCACGACGCTTGTGATCAAAGCTGTATCGCTCCATGTCGTCAAGGGCTGCTGGCTCTCCAAATAATGTAGACCTGGTGTAGAAAATAGACACTAGTGTTCACACGTTTAGCATTTTTGTTTTGTTTTTTGTTTAATGCTGCACTTAGCAGTATTCCAGCTAGATGATAACGGTCTGTAAATAATCAAGTCTGGACCAGACAATCCAGTGCTTGACATTATGAGCATCGATTGGGATATAGGGTTGCGATGACATGTATCAACCAAGTCAGCGAGCCTGACCACCCGATCCCGTTAGACGCGTTTTTCGACAAGCATAGTCACTTTTTATGGCAAGCATGGGTTGCTGAAGACCTATTCTACCCCGGATCTTCACGGGTCTCAAACGTATAGCAAGTGATGGACCCTCCTCGTCACTTCTTTCAACTGACATCATATCAGATATAAGAGAAAAAGATAGAGAAGAGCAGGGATGCAACTCAACCTGAAACATTTACTAGCCGAACACATAACACATGTACCTAGGGACATCCCTAAATAGCCCGAAGTTCTACAGGCCCTTGTGGTACCTTTACCATTAGACAAAATGACGAGGGCTAGTGCCGAATTGCATCCCAAGAAGATAGAAACACTCATTCAAGCCTCAACACCAGCAGCCTAGCATTACATGAGATATTATCTTACTGTTAAGTCATGGACAATCCAGGACTTATTCCTCTGGTTCTGTCTGATGGAACATCAACATTCATCTCACTCGTGTTTACATAGTTTCCAGTTTCAATGGGTGCTATGCCTGATCTAACTAGAGCCAGAGGTTGGCGAGGTTTCGGCAAGTCTGCACTTACACAAGTATGATAGAACTCAGTGGCATACAAATAACTATAAACTGTGTCTATCACTTGAAGACACAAGCCTGTCAAATTAATTATTTGCTGAATGAATTCCATATGTTCCATATTTCCATATTTAATTAACTACTCACCAAAAATTAAATTAATAGGTCCAGTATAAATGCTAAGGCAATATTCCCCAAGTATATATAACTTATAAGAAAAAGTTAAAAAATAAACCCTAACATTAGTCATCAATACATAACCATGGCATGTCATCGGTATTTGTAAGAACTTTAAAGCAATGAATGTTGTCATTAACATGATTTAGCAAGTTTAAGAGAAACAAAGGCCTTACTGTAACCTCACTATGGGAAACTTCAAATGAATAATTATTAATTAATATTTTTCAATGACTTTGCCACATTAATCTCACAGCACCGTGATACCTTGTTAACTTGGCATCAGCTACATGTATAGATCTTCCTAGTCTCAGGAGAAACAGTGAGTAGTTATTCTGCCAAGAGATAACATTATTTAATCTTGCCTTACTTCACACTGTTCCAGGTATTTATTAGCACTCTTCCCGCGAAAGATCGAGCTGAAAAAAAAAAGAAGAAAAGATTTCTACATGACATAGACTACATATTATCTTTACGGTTTACAAAATGTCAAGTGCATCTGTTACAAATACAGACTGCTCATATGATATTCAATAAAACATGGATAATCAAAAATATTTCATCATAGCGAAAATGCATGAATAATATATAAATCCAACTTAAAGAAAAGGGCAATTTGAAGGACATTTCTTTCCCCCTCTACCAATACTGAAATATGCACGATAAACACAACAAGAAAAGAGCCTTTACTCATCAAATTCATTGGCATATGTACCAACCATCTTATTTCTCCAACAACAACTAACACTAACCATGCTAACCGTACATTTCACCATTATCATGATTATCATATTCCTAACCATGTTAACGCCTTAGTCTTTTACAAGATTCATGGCCTGTGCTATATCATTTATATACATGTACTTCAAAATTGTGTTTCTACATTTCAATATGTGTGATGAGTATACTCATCATAATCATCATCATAACTATATAACAGTATTACAAACATATTTATGAAGAAATGATATTTCTACTCACCATCAGGAGTTGTCTCCACTGCCATATCTCGAAACAGACTCTGTGGGAAAAAGGTTTCATTTTTAGAATCAAAAGTGATATTTTCAACATGTTCAAGGTAGGTCAATGACCTGTTCATTATGTAGGCCAATCTAAGGGTCATGGACTGCTCCAAAATAGACTTGGTAAGTAATAAGAGAAACAGTGTTGAAACAGTGACACTGTCTTCTATACTGCTAAGTGTAAGAAATTGTAGTGATTTCTAAGAAATTCATTGATAATAGACCTAAACAAACACTACTTTATGGATATTTCTTGCCTTCGAAATCACCTTGTCATACCTTGTGCAAGGGTTTTTCAAACCTTTAGACATGACGATGATATGTAGTATATGTCCTTGTAATTAACTAGGTATGAATAAGTTTGGAAATAATGAACATAATGAAATGATGAACAATTCATGATTCCTCTGGAAAATGTTTGTCACTCAGAGGATGACATGAACATATTAGTAATCAAATACGCTCCACCATGTTTACTGTATTGTACAGCAAGTAGTTACATCAGAGATTAGCAGAAAGTAACTGTTTATCAATGCAAGATGAGAAGAAGCAAAACTAGGGATCTCAAGAGACTATATCCAGCAGAACAGTATCCAAACATACACACAAAGACATTTATTTATTCATATTTGAAACCTTGTTAGCATGGACCTTGAAAGTCTGAAAACCTTGCTTTACGGACAATTCTGTTAGGAATGTCTTCACATTTTGGGACAGCCATGTTTATCGTAATTACTCGCGCTATAACGAGGGGTGTGGTGTCACACAGACATTGTAAATACTGGGATGATGGCTTGTCTTTAAGATAAAGTTGTCTTTTATAAATGAGTAAGATGTTTTACAGTTGTTCATGTGATTAGTGAGATAACTAAACATGTTTCTTAAGCATCCAAAAACCCATAACAAGGATATTCACTAGATCTACTCTTTAATAATGATCAATTCATTCAGATATTTGCTTATTTCAGAAAAAAAATAGAATAGAATTTGAATACATGTATATATTTTGGACACAGATCAGGCTGAGTATGGTTCAAGCTGATGTTGTGCAGCTATAAATAATAATACAACATTATTGAAACTAAAATGCCTTGGGCGTTGCAACAAGAAAGTAAAGTTCAGTAACTTTCCAAAACATTTTCTGGAGGATTTAATATTAAGTAATACCATTAATGACTAAATAACCCCACCTGCATTTCACTGCTGAGGCGTCTGAGCCAGTATATTTCAAATCAAAACAATCATCTTTCATCTGATGATAACAGGAAATAAAATGGGGAATCCCCTGGTCTGTTTACAAATAGCCTAAATGATGAAGCGAATATAAGCAACGGTAAGACAATATTCATACCCAAACCAACGTTTATTCAAATGAAATATTGATATAATACATGCCTGTCAGAGGCCAGGGACTACTACAGTCAGTTGGGTACTGTCGTTTGATTATTTAGTAACCAAATACTGTTACTATTTCTGGTGCTCACGCACCTGGCACTCTTTTGCGAATGAGACACGTAAATGGCGAATGAAGGTACTCGTCGTGAGGAGTTATTCTCGTATTTATAACCGTCAGACGAACAATACTATCTTTGGTTCAAAAGTTCCTTTTATTGGCAAACATTCCTGGAGTTGGGCTATCCCCTAACTAAGGCAGGCAAACAAAAAACCTTCTTGTGGATACCCGCCCACGTAGGAATATACGGTAATGAAAACGCCGATAAAGCAGCTAAACTATTCCTCAAAATCCCAGAAATAAGCTTAAACTTACCCATCTCAAAATCAGAAATTAAAAGTGTAAACAAGCAAAAAATCACCAAAAAATGGCATAACCTATATCTAAACTCTAGTCGGAGACCCCAGAACACGCACTCATCCACTGCACACACTACCTAACACATCGAACCGCATTACAAACCATCCTCAATCTAAACAGGGCTCTCACTCTAGAAGCAATACTAAACCCACAAAATAAACTAGAAAACTTCAAGGCCTTAGGCGTATTCTTAATCAAAACGGAACTAATAAAACGCATCTAAAAACACAATAATCTACCAAATCAAAATCACATAAACAAACAAACATCCACCATACCCAGCCCCCTTAGTTCTCCTCCCCGACCCCATCGGCATCTTTTCCAAATCTCAAAATTCCCAAATTCTATATAAGCAACCCCTAAAGCTCCCTCTTGGGATGCACAGACCACTTTCGCCCCTTTCGGAAACACATTAAATGGCCTGGCCGTGTCCGTGTGCGAAATACGCATCAGTCGGAAAGCGCACGTTAAATCTCGCTCGTGAGCTCGTGAGTGAGTGAGTGAGTAAGTAAGTAAGTAAGTAAGTACTATCCGTGTGCGAAATACGCTACAGTCGGAAAGCGCACGTTAAATCTCCTATATCAGTCAGTCGGCACTATCCATTACTTGCTTGATAAAGGTGATAGGATCTACCCCGAAACTAATTGTAATAAAGAAGTTGTTCATCCATAGAACTTGTCTTTCTTCACCACACCAACTTCTCAATGCCACTGAAAGAAGTGACAAGCTCCGCCCCTAGCTGAGGAAACATGTCTACAACCAGCAAGACAATTTCACTCAAATCAGATCTTAGTTCTCGCTATGTACCGCAAAACAAAGCTGAAAAATATGAAATGTCTAAAGTTATTGTTTTGTGAGGGGGAATAAACAGACATCTATATAAACACCCACATTTCAAAATCACTATAGCTTTGTCGACCTTCGCTGTTAACTGAATATATTGAGTTCCCATGCAGAGTTAAATTACACGACACGAAATTACAATGTATCAATATATCAATATACCGTATTTCCTCCATCAGACGTCCATCAATTTCGCGGAAGCCGTTAACCTGGTGTCTATTCTGTTTGATGGTAACTCACTACCTTGTCGAATCCCAAATTCTGCTGTCATACAAATAATACATTTCCAGGGAACAGTCGTTATTATTCACCAACATATCACAATCACAATCACAGTATTAGAGATCCGACTTCTATTTTGGGATAGAGCCATTGCTCCGCATCTGTTAGAGGCCGACGTGTATTGGAGATCGGGCGTCTATTAGAGGAAGTGCGATATATGTATTTTATATATAGCCCTGTATTGTTCTTAAACCTGATATATGTTATTTTGATCGGAAACCTCTGAATAGCGTCTTCTTCGGTCTCATGTGTCTGTCATAAACAAATATTCCAGGGGCCTGTTCCACAAAGCGATGTCGTAAGCCAGTGTTAAAGTATGGGAGTTACGATCATCTTAGACTTATGATTGTCGTAAGCCAGTGTTAAAGTATGGGAGTTACGATCATCTTAGACTTATGATTGTCGTAAGCCAGTGTTAAAGTATGGGAGTTACGATCATCTTAGACTTATGATTGTCGTAAGCCAGTGTTAACGTATGGGAGTTACGATCATCTTAGACTTATGATTGTCGTAAGCCAGTGTTAACGTATGGGAGTTACGATCATCTTAGACTTATGATTGTCGTAAGCCAGTGTTAAAGTATGGGAGTTACGATCATCTTAGACTTATGATTGTCGTAAGCCAGTGTTAAAGTATGGGAGTTACGATCATCTCAGCGCTAAGATTGCTTTGGGGGACGGGGCCCAGATATGCAAGTCACCCGCCTTCTTCCCGAGGCGAGAGGGTTAACTGACTAACACTTAGTCTGTGAATTATTATTTTTTTAAATAATTGTAATTTGTTTTCTTCAAAAGAACCTTTCTTCTTCTACTGTTTTCATAGACTGTGGAATAAAGGAAGAGACTTGGTTTCGTTTGACCGAGACTTGCCTAGCTTCATCAATCATACCGCAGGACTAGAAAGATTTATATATGTTGCTCCAACGGATTATGGCGAGATGCGCATGATTTATACAGTAGTTCGACGTAGAAGGGAACAAATATCATGTAAAGAAAAACCATACTTGTTGTCATTTTATCTTCAATTTTGTTATATCAAAATCTAACGAAATAAACTACGCATTCTGACGTATTCTTTTAATGGTTGTGCAAAATCTCTATTGACGAATACTATGAGCAGGCGCGTCATAAAAGCTTCCGGATAGTTACGGAAGGTTACGGAAAGAGACGAGGTCGACTGTTGTCGGAAAAGCAAAACTCAGAAAGGAAAGACTTGGTTGTTTGTGATCATATATCACTCAAGAGGGCGCTGTTTCGAATAGAGAGCCGTTTCAAATACAGCTAAAGATTCTTTCCGTTCTTGTGAACTATGACTGACAGTGAGTAAAACGTTCTTTGTGTCACAGCTACTATATATTTTGTAACAGTGTCGTTAGTGACGTTACTGCCTCTCAGCTCTTCTACGCCAGGAGTAAGTCAGGAAGTGTCGAAAACATAGACCCATACCGCTCCCTGTGGATGTTTAGTATCAGTGTAAACCCTAAATCAGCCTATCAAAGTTCAATGTATCTCTCATGAACGAACGTGATTTAAAAAAACTAGGGCTGCCAGATATGACAGGATAGCTGTCCTTATCCTGGCTTAGGATCATGTCTACCCAGTTCTCTGTGGTTGAGTTCATAAACCTGTTACGGTTATCAACTAATTCATGCAATCCCACCAGTTTTATGCTGTAATAATAAATTATATTTTATTTTGTTGTTGAGGTGTAAAATGTGCGATGACAATGTTGATGTGGCATGTTCGCTTGCTATATATTGCAAGCAATCAGAGTGACATATTCCTTTTCGGCTTCGGTCATGAAGTTAGTGAATGTGCATATGCCAGTCAATTTTGCTATCACATTCGGAGATGATGACAACAAGCTGTAATATGAAGGTGATGGCGATAACTGGTCATCAGCCAGTAGTCGAAAGATCAGAATGAGTTTTCAGATAAAAATAATTTCCTTTAAGCTAGCATGTTAAGTTATTGTAGGCCTATCATCTGATCATTTGTAATAAATATATAACATCACCATGACCGCTTTCAGTTTTCACCAGTTTTTTTTTAAATTGGCTGTTGGTAACAACGCAGGTTATCAGGCACAGTTACTATAGCGCTAATTGGCTCAGGCTGTCAACTGTGACTCTCGCAGATCTCGCGTTTCTTTTCGATCCTTAGGGTTATCAGTTGTGTAAGGGTTAATGTAGGTTACCCCCAACTCTTTCCTTAGCCCTTAGATCCTCTTTCTGATCAAGCACCCCTTTACGATCATTAGGGTTAGGTACCCCTTTCCGTTCAAACACCCCATCACAATTCTTTATGGTTGGGCACCACTTGCCAATCCATACCCGATCATTAGGGTTAGTTGTGAGGTAGGGTATGGGTGAGCTTTCTCTTTTAATGAATGAATCCAATGTAATTTGAAGATACTCCATAAATTATTTATTGAGATCGCAGTTTGTCGAGTTTCGGTTACTACGAATAAAGGTAAACAATGGGGCTTTTATGGTTTGTGATAGCGCACGTGGTCTCGCGGTAGGGTATTGGCTAATTAGAATAATTCATTATTGCTTAACTTCAAGCTACAACGTTCATGCAGTCTTCCACGTTGTTTAATTGAAATCCGTAAAAGTGCACCTAGTAGAGTGCACTTCTTATTCCCTAGTTGTCCTCGTGGGGTTTCCTGAATGCTTTTAGTATTTGAACATGCCTTAATTGACAATTAATGCAACTAAACATTGGTTGGTAGCAACATCCTCTTATCATGCTTATGAGCTTGACCACATGGAATTCCAAGCAAAAATGGTACAAATTCAGTATCATGATACATATCATGACTTAAGTGTATTGAGAACCTCTTTAATATGCAGCACAAGACATTTTATATTTTCAACAAATCTCTTTGACTTACAGTGTGCACATATTGTTTATGTTCCAGATAACCAGGACTGTGTAGATGCTTTCGGAGGAGATCCAGCAGGAACAGATTCCCCTGATGCCAGGGGGGGAGGGTAAGACAGATGGACGATGTCATTTTGTTCTGCAGCAAATGTCAATAAAAAATCCCAAGTTGGGACTAACATTTCCCAATTTATGTTACACTGCAATTTCAAAATATGCCTGAAATTGAGAACATATGAATATTTAAAAATTCCTATTTTGAACAAAATAATGAATTCCCCCAATTTGCCAGCCACAGGCACTGACTTAGTTCTGAAACCTAGATAAATCCCTGAGTTAATGGCTAGACTCCACTTAAACATGTTAAATCGTATAGAAACCCAGATGACAGATGACATTGTGTGATGTTGTAACTACTTGGCTTGAGTGAGTGAGTGAGTTGGGTTTAACGCCGCTTTTAACAGTATTCCAGTTATATCGCGGCATGTCAGCTTAATGTGGGAGGAAAACCCGAAGTGATGCAGGTCTCAGACGGTTACCACTTCGGTGAAACCAATGAGCACGGGTATGGTGCTGACAAACCTAGAAACCTAATTGGGGCGAACGGGGATTCGAACCCACAATCATAGGTTACTGGCGTGCCCAAGGGATGCAACTCTGCACAGCAAATTGCGGCGCCCCCCTACTTGGCTTGAGATAAAAGTCATGTAGATATGTGTAACTGTTCACCCCTAAAATCTCCCGTCCTCTAATATTTAAGAAAGTTATTTTTAAGCACTACAAACAAACAAGTTCATACTGTGTCTGATTGGTAAGGGACAATGTGGCCTCTAGCTGAGGCCCACCTATTCATATTTCCAGCCGAAAGGGGCATGGTCAGTAGGGGTCATAGGGTACCTAAGAATCAAGGTTACTTTCATAGATTAATAATTAAATTTTCGTTGTCTTCACTGAAATTACTGCATTCTGATTAGCTGAATCGGTCACGTGTTATTGCATTCATTTCCCAATGAAGGTAAAAAATTAAGCCACGTCCACCGAGGCACACTGCTTTTATTACTGCGGAATGTCTGGGAATCCCTATATTACAGTCGAGGGAATTCCCTTTCTGCTCTCGTGCATCGTCATGCACAGGTCATTTAGCCACTTTCATGCATATTCATTGTCCAAACAACCCTTTGAAACCGAAGGCCGAGAATGAATGAAACAGAAAACGTGCAGGCTCGCCCGTCTGTTTTTTTCCCGCTCGCCTCGGTTCAACTTTCATGTCTTCGGGTTTCATTTCTAACAAGCATTTTTCAAACTGTGTTTTACCGTAACCAGGGAAGTAATGTTTGAATCTGGCGGTAACTGACCATGTTATTTGAAACAACCACCTTCTCCCGGACATATATGTTCTGGTTCGTTACTATGTCTGACTGTTGCAGTTCTTTTCGCCTCTTGCCTTAATTGACAGGTCCAATGAACAATGTTTTGATCCTACTCTCCGTTGATTGGTTACTGACTGTGTAGGCGTGTCAAGTTATGTGCATAAATTAAACGATCACCGGATTCATGTCACGCCACGGTATGTATTCCTACACCTGGAATGTTTATCAATCTCGTCAGTTTTGTCTGTTTTGATATATGCAACTGCTATACAACAGTTTGCACATTGGTTTTTCAATTCATACCTCAATGAACCAAAAAAAATACACAGTCAATCCTTAAATAACCAACTTATGAAAAAAAATATAATAATAATCATCGTTCCCTGAATCATGTGAATCGGTTTTCACAAGAATAGGTTTTTTAATTGGCCTTTTCATACATGTGTGAAAATGTTTTGTATTGAATTTCCAACACCATTTACCCTGCAGTGTTTACAATTGTAGTCCTGTTGGACTCTATTCCCCCTATACAGCCACTGCTACACCTGCGTGATGCTGTAACATGAGCACTGATTGCCCTGCTATACCTGTGTGATGCTGTAACATAGGCGCTGATTGCCCTGCCACACCTGTGTGCTGTAACATGAGCACGGATTGCCCTGCCACACCTGTGTGCTGTAACTTGAGCACCGATTGCCCTGCCACACCTGTGTGCTGTAACATGAGCACCGATTGCCCTGCCACATCTGTGTGCTGTAACATAGGCGCTGATTGCCCTGCCACACCTGTGTGATGTAACATGAGCACTGATTGCCCTGCCACATCTGTGTGCTGTAACATGAGCACCGATTGCCCTGCCACACCTGTGTGCTGTAACATGAGCACCGATTGCCCTGCCACACCTGTGTGCTGTAACATAGGCGCTGATTGCCCTGCCACACCTGTGTGATGTAACTTGAGCACCGATTGCCCTGCCACACCTGTGTGCTGTAACATGAGCACTGATTGCCCTGCCACACCTGTGTGCTGTAACATGAGCACGGATTGCCCTGCCACACCTGTGTGCTGTAACATAAAGCACTGATTGCCTGCCACACCTGTGTGCTGTAACTTGAGCACTGATTGCCCTGCCACACCTGTGTGCTGTAACATGAGCACTGATTGCCCTGCCACACCTGTGTGCTGTAACATGAGCACCGATTGACCTGCCACACCTGTGTGCTGTAACATGAGCACTGATTGCCCTGCCACACCTGTGTGCTGTAACATGAGCACTGATTGCCCTGCCACACCTGTGTGCTGTAACTTGAGCACTGATTGCCCTGCCACACCTGTGTGCTGTAACATGAGCACTGATTGCCCTGCCACACCTGTGTGCTGTAACATGAGCACTGATTGACCTGCCACACCTGTGTGCTGTAACATGAGCACTGATTGCCCTGCCACACCTGTGTGCTGTAACATGAGCACTGATTGCCCTGCCACACCTGTGTGCTGTAACATAGGCGCTGATTGCCGTGCATCACAGCAACCTGATTACACTGGTGAGACGTCCAGCCAGCAGAGGTGTGGCTACGGACTGGTCAAGGCTTGTAATTACCTACCCTAATTGTTTACAGTGTCCTTACGGTGACCTCAGTGATGAAAGTGAGGGTTACCTCACACGCAGCCATCTAACAACACTGTATAGAAGGCAGTTGTTGCTAGGCTCAACAAGAGCTATGTTGCTTGCAGATCTTGACACTTATTGACTTTCAAAGGGATTTATCTAGACCTGCTCAGAGGCCGATATACATCCTCAAGGCCGCAGTAAATGACAATAAAAATTCCCAATTTGAATTTTATAAAATCCCAATACCTCAGAATTTTCAAAAATAAGAACATAAAAAAAATCAAATTTTGAACAATATCACAATTTATTTCCCAGTTTGCCTGCCAAGGACACTTTGGAATCCTAGATTAATCCCAGTTTACTCCCAAGACACAGGTTTTTTTGTGTTTATCATGTTATGGTGGCTCGGTGATCATGGGAATACAATAAATACAACTTAAGGTTTGTTACATCAGCTGAACAATACATCTTGTACATCGATATGTATCATCCTGCATGTTTAACAATTTTTTTATGATTGATGCTTGATCAGTTAACCTGTACATGGTGTACAAATAACTACAATGTTGTATTGAAATCATGATTGATTTGAAGTGGCCATGAACAGAGAAGAGAGAAAAATGTTATTTCATACCAAGTCTTTGTTATAATTGTTCAAACATTCAGATCTCTTCACCATGTACCCAATTACACATAAACACACTCGTCAGTGTGCAACCATGTCCGTTGTAGTTGGATTATCCAGTGTATAATATCTCCACTCTATTATGGTAAACACCTTGAACCTTTCACCACCATAACTGTCCAATGAAATTACTCTCCTTTACAAGTGAATTTCTGTTCGAAGTTACTGATGGAGACGTCACTGTTTAAAGACAGCCATCATGGCTATAGTAGCAAATCTGTGCTCGGTATTGATCCCAGAGAATTAGACATGTAATACACCTGATAATCAAGCATGTACCATTCGAGGAATACTATAAGATTTTGAGAAAAATAGGTCCGTATTTTGATATAAATGATTTAAGTTTCTTAGACAATATTTAGGTACCAGTTATAACTGATGATTTGAATAAACAAATGGAATGATTATAATCAATGATGTAAAATGAAATCACAACTAATTTGAAGTAATTTCCAACACCACTTTTTATATAATATTGATACCTCGTGTACAATTTGTATATCTTGTAGTCCTGTAGTGATCATGGTGATTGGTTTGTATGTTCCAAATTCATCAAAGTCGGGATAAAACTTTGAAATATAATTTCTGCTCCACTTTTGGTACCAGATGAAACTGAGATGTGTATCCTATCATTGATCAAAATTATTGTCGCTGTTCAATATGGCTAAAACTAATATCCCAATAGATGACTGTGACTAGATGATCGTTTATGTTTATGACTAAAGTGATGTTAGACATTATTACAAAAAGAAAAAAATTCCACCCCACGCCATTAGCACTGGGAAATCTCTACAAAATCTTTGCTGTAACCATGGTAACAGCAATGCACTTGAGCATGTTGAGCTAGATATCTCTAGCCAGATAGGAAATTAGAATGTTTGTAAGTAAGGCAAGTTCTACAGCAAGGCTAATCCTGGTACTGCTTGCTGTATGACTAACATGCATATTGCCATGACTGTACACATGGTATATGCAGTATGCTATATAATGCTGTTTGCACCAGCTTGGAAGAATCAATACACTTGCTCACCTGTCATTCTCACCTGTGAATTTGAGTAATCATATTTTATAATATTAATTTGAATCAACTTTTGCTTAAAGGAAAGGGTTAAGATATGTGAAACAATATAAAAACATTAATACCAGAAATTAATACCAGTTAGACATTTCTTAATTTTATTGCCAATCACACAGTTAAAAATCCAAGGGCATGGTTAAAATCACTTAACAGTGTCTGAATTGCCTACTTAGAAATACTATTTTTTAACAACAGTACCTTGTGATATTATTTTCATAATGACTTATGAAGCCTGTAACTATGGTAATAAAAGTATTTTGGGTGTAATAAACGTGGCAATATAGAAAAGGATCCTTAATACGCAGCATGATTCACAGAATGTTTGCCTATTTTCAGGAATGAAAAAGTGTTGCATCAATCTTAATGATAAGGAAGTGGGCAAACTTTCTAAAATTCAACTGCTTATTGTCTAGCCTTGATGAAATGATTGCAATGTCATGAAGATGGGTCAAAGGTATTCAAGCTGTACGCTCAAGTTCAAAGGGGCACCCCGAAACATTATAATGAGTGGCCTATGTCACCCTGGAAAAAAGTACATTTCTACCCTGAATAATTCAGATGACTGAGAGATCGATCACCAACACTCCCACTGAACAAACTTATTGATTATCCTGTATCATGACTCAAATATCCATACCTGTCAACTCTCACGCATTTATATAAAATGTAGATAAAATATTTTGAAACACTTTTCTCTTTCGATTTATCGCGATTGCAACCAACATGGCGAGAAAAATCATTCAAAACCAGTTTTTGCCGGGTGGACTTTGCCCCCCCCCCACACACACACACCAAGGCTTAGCCCTGGACCCAGCAGGACTTGAAGCCCCTGCACCCTGGCTTCTCACTCATTTAGACATCCAGGGGTAGACAGCTATGAATATCCTCATTGTGCTTAAGGGACGGTCGGGTAGCCTAGTGGTTAATGCGTTAGCTCGTCACGCTGAAGACCCGAGTTCGATTCCCGACATGGGTACAATGTGTGAAGCCCATTTCTGGTGTCCCCTGCCATGATATTGCTGGAATATTGCTAAAAGGGGCGTAAAACCATACTCACTCACTCCCTCACATTGTGCTTAAAACATATTCTGTGTATTAATTGTCTCATTGTTTCAAGAGTTTATAAAATGTTTCAACTTTTGAAAGTCGTTTATCAATATACTTTACAGTTAAAAGTCTCGGTGGACCATGTTGACTTCTGTACACACAGTACAAGAGCAGATAGTTCTCTTATCTGATGATGAACAGCTTCACTGTTCTGTGTTCACAGCCGCTGTGGTTAGATTCCAAGCTGGAATAGATCTCCAGCTACCTGTGCTAGTCATGATAGGTTGCTATGGGACTGATAGCCATTCGGTGACTCAGTGGTTGTGTGTCATTGTATTCCGAAAGTGTGGCTCATAAACACACTTCAAACTTTAAAAACCTTCCATCAGTTTTCATAAATTATTTGTAAAACGAATCTTGAGTAGGACCAATTCAACAAAGTACAAACGGCAATATATTGTTTATTTCCTTGTTCGGGGCGGTCGGGTAGCCTAGTGGTTAAAGTGTTCGCTCGTCACGCCGAAGACCCCGGTTCGATTCCCGACATGGGTACAATGTGTGAAGCCCATTTCTGGTGTCCGCCGCCGTGATATTGCTGGAATATTGCTAAAAGCGGCGTAAAACCATACTCACTCACTCACATTATTTCCTTGTTCTGATATGAATCGTGCCAGTTGTCAATGGTTCAGAATTAAAGTCCTCCAATGCTACTTGTCAATGAGGACTACCTCTGCTGGGGGTTCACATGTTCCCAGCACAATAGTGTAGTCCTGCGCAGTCGGACAAGTGAATTTTGAAGGCTTGTTTGATGAAGTATTGTAATTTGATACACATTGGCTTAGAAATAACCAGGGCGGTCGGGTAGCCAAGTAGTTAAAGTGTTCGCTCGTCAAGCAGAAGACCCGGGTTCGATTCCTGACATGGGTACGATGTGTGAAGCCCATTTCTGGTGTCGCCCACCGTGATATAGCTGGAATATTGCTAAAAGCGGCGTAAAACCATACTCACTCCCTCACTCACTTAGAAATAACCGAGTTAATAAAAGTTGTATTTGCACTTGGACAAATATCAATTCACACGCACAAGTGTATTGTTCACGTCATCCGGACGACATTGTTGACATTGAAATGAGGTCGGAATGACGTCACACAAGAAACATAGATTGTGATTGTTGACGTCATTCAACAGTTGTGTTTTTCTAAAACAGTGATCGTGATCAGTGCATTATTCTAAATGGGAGCTGAAAAGGATCAAGAAATAATGGGTTACATTGGGGAATAATGAACTAATTACACTCACATGTGTGTCAAACTGATTTCGCGAAACTCCGGGAATTTGCGCTCTCTTTGGAAATACAAGAATTCCATCACTCGTTTTGTGTAATCATTATGACTCACATGCTTGTATAATATAAGTTGTACTTGTGGCAGTATCACGAGAGGTACATGTAGTTTTCTGTGTCACGCGTAACGCATTAGTTTTTATACTAATACCTAACAAGGGACCCATATATCGAAAAATACAAGAATTCTAGTACAATATAAGTTGTATTTCTGGCAGTATCACGAGAGATACATGTAGTTTTATGTGTCCCACATAAAGCATTAGTTTTTATACTAAAACCTAACGAGGGACATATATCGGAAAATACAAGAATTCTAGTACTTGTTCCGTGTAATCATTCTGCCACACATGCTTGTATAATGTATGTTGAAGCAGTATCACAAGGGGTAAGTGTGGTTTCATGCATCCCATGAACCAGAGCCAAGTGGTGTAAAACGAGGGACACATATAACTGCATGTACCCCTCATGATTCTGCTACAACAAATTTATCTTATTGACATGTTTTAAAGTGACATTGGAAAAGAATTAAAACAAATTCAAAATTTATAGAAAACAGCTGTTCTATTGACCTGTGGTTAACTTATGCTATGTGACATGACTTTCACCGACTCAGAAAAGAGTGCGGATCTTTGCTTCGAAACAGGGTATAAGGGATTTATTCTCCCTCTCAGAAATCCACGTGCAGCAGGTCTTCTTCATGGTGGTGTATAAGAGACTTATTCTCCCACTGAGAAATTTATTTCTCTCCAACATGTCAAAGGCGGGATACATAGTATTTTATCAAGATCACATGAACCAATCAGATCTCCTCATTCTGACATGGAGGTATGATAATAATCTTTATATACTACTCAAATTAAGTTAAGGACTACCTGTTACTTTCATGTTACATGTACTATAGTTAATCTGTCATGCTATGACAGATTATCTTTTGTAATATGAAAGAATTGTGTGCTCCTTAATTTATTTTTAGTAGTATATGTAACAGTACTTTAGCAAAGCACATTGTGTTCTCTACAGCAAACGGGGGCACGGGTGGCCCAGTCGTCTAAGTATTGCAGTTTTTGTGACTATGACACTGCTATTGTAAAACTTAACATGCCCCAATTTTCCAATTCCTTTGACTTCCAGGGGTGGCCAAGCGGGTCGAGGGGGACAGCCTCCAGTTTACACAGAGGCAGAGTTCCTTGCTGAAAAATACAAGATGGACCATGAGAACAGGGGCCAGGCTGTTATCCTCAACAACCGAGACTTTGACCGGCACACCGGCATGGGAACTAGGAGTGGGACTGATGTAGATGCTTCAAATATATATCAGAACCTCAAAGCTCTTGGTTTTACAGTGGAGATGCACACCAACAAGACGACAGGAGATATGAAAAAAATAATGACTGAAGGTGATTGGCGTGTTATTTTTCAGCATGTTTGTTTATGTTGATTTCATTGATTTAGGTTTCACATCTCGGCCACATTAACTACTTGATTGTGGTGAGTACCGACAAGAGTGAATTGTTTAAGCACATTGAAAGAACGTTTTTTGTTTTGTCTTTTTAGTTTAATGCCGCACTAAAACATATTCCACTTATAGAACGGCGGCCTGTAAATAGTTGAGTGGGGACCAGTTTTGTCTACTTATTAGTTACAAATTTATATGCTCTAGATGTTAGTGTTATTATATGGGCTATTATTAGCTGACCTCACTAGACAGAACGACTTTTACTAGACTAGGGCTTCTGATAAGTGGCTCAAGTCGCAGACTGTTTTCCCTGTTGAAAGTGTAATTTGTATCTTCATATGCTGTTGTGTACGGCCTGAAAGTTCTATTCTTGTGATGATCATCCTATTGTGAAACTAAGTGTGTTTACTTTGACAGCTGCGAAGAAAGACTTCAGCAACAGCGACTGCTTCGCGTGTGTCATCCTGTCTCATGGAGAGGAGGGGGCTGTGTATGGTACAAATGGACCTGTAGAAATCAAGGACCTTGTGGACCCTTTTAAGGGTCACCGATGCCAGTCACTGGCAGGCAAACCTAAGCTGTTCTTTATACAAGTGAGTAAGCTATTTCAGTGTTTATTTTCAGTAAGCATATTTCAGTGATTTCATATTTGAACAAGGAGCACGAGTGGCCATCATCTAAGGTGCTGGAATAAGCTGTGCAGAGTTGAGTCCCTTGGGCATGCCAGGAACCTGTAAGCAGTATCAAAATATACTCGGGTTTGAATCCTGGTTCATCATGTTTCTAGGATGATCGGCACCACACCTGTGCTTGTGAGTTTCACCAAACTGCTAATGACCTGCATCACTTAGGGCTGACACGCTGTTATTAATGCACTGCTGTTCAAAAGTGGGGTTACCTCAAACTACCTTACTGATAATTGAAACCCAGCAATAAGTATGCATGTTTTCTGGATTTCTAGTGGCCTTATTGAATGTCTGCCATCAGCTTTGCTTGAAATAGCAAAGTTTGAGCAGTGTGTTTTAACATATTTAAAATTGAAAAATTTCCCTGCTGTGTCCTTTAAAAAGATGGTACTTGTTTTTACCCTGCCTGGCATTCGACATTAAGGAGCTTCAACTGTGGTGATATGATTTCAGCTTCAACTGTGGTGATATGGTTTCAGCTTCAATTCTGGTGATATGATTTCAGCTTCAATTCTGGTGATATGATTCAGCTTCAACTGTGGTGATATGATTTCAGGCATGTAGAGGACAAGGCCTAGATGAAGGTGTTGATGTGAGTGATGCTTTGGGTGTGAAGGGAGATGGAGACGAGGATGTCGAGATGGCCCCCGTCACCTACAGAATCCCCACAGAGGCTGACTTCCTCATGGCCTACTCCGTTGTCCCAGGTGTGTAGCTGGTAGTAGTGCAGCATGAAACCACAGCTAGACTCACAAATAATAATAATAATAATAATAATAGTTGTCCAAGTTGTCCGGTGCCTAAGGTTTGGTACCTCCCAATCTGTTGACTGACATTGGGAGAGTACCCGCGTTTGCTACCAGGAATACAGCCCTTATGACAATCTGGGTAATGCAGAAGGCTGCAGTGTTGGGGAGTCTTTAAATTCTCCAAAAAGTTCTGGGTGGGTTTGACTAGGCAGGGTTTCCTGGGAGAAGTCCAATTCGCTGTCTGGGCTGTGTGAAGAGGGGGCAAGGGCCCTAAGCTGATGATGAGCCTAAACAGCCTGACTGTGTCAGAATCACCCAAACCCTCTTTGCTGCATTTATATTTTTATCTGTAAATAATAATATTAATAATGTGCAAATCAAAATTTATCAAACTCAAGGAGTCATTACCCTAATTATGAATATTGAAGATTTCCTCACCTTCATTATACAGTGTCTCTCCATTGTATTAGGTGCCCGGACCCCCTCACCACCATGTTTCATAAGAAACGGAACATCACCATCTCTCTCATACTCGACCCGTGAAGATCCGGGGTAGAATAGGTCTTCAGCAACCCATGCTTGCCATAAAATGTGACTATGCTTGTCGTAAGAGGCGACTAATGGGATCGGGTGGTCAGGCTCGCTGACTTGGTTGATGCATGTCATCGATCCCAATTGTGTGGATGCTCATGATGTCAATTACTGGATTGTCTGGTCCAGACTTCATTATTTACAGACCGCCGTCATAGAGCTGTAATATTGCTGAGCGTGGCATTAAACAACAAACAATCTTATCATACTCAGAATTTCTCAAAATTAACAGCCAGTCATAATCAGTGATTGACTGGTTGGAACAAATCGACCAATGATTTATCAGGACATATATTCATATATCTTTATTGTTGTTCCTTTCAGGGTATTTCTCCTGGCGGAACTCATCCCGGGGCTCCTGGTTCATTCAAGCACTGTGCGCTGTTTTAGAAAAATATGGCCACAAACTGGACCTCATGACGATGATGACTCGAGTCAACAAACTCGTAGCGTATGACTTCGAGTCTAATGCAAGCAAAGAATTCATGAATAGGAAAAAGCAGATACCTTGTATTACCTCTATGTTGACAAAAGATTTATATTTCCCTCCCATGTGATTAAATGTAAAATAAGTGAAGATTGTCTTTCTGAATTAACCCAACACAGTTCAACACATGACCAGTGAATGGAGGAGCAAGAATAGGAGAAACGGTTTGCTGGGGGTAAAATATTTTGTATGTCATTGAACATATTGACTAAATGCAATATGTCAAAATAGTTTGTGTATGTCACAACCTATTTCTGGTTGGCAGGGGGGTCATTTAGCACTAGCCGGACCAGGTTTGTTGATGTTAAAGGTATCCTAAGGCTAGTAGAATTTCAAAACATTTCAGGGGTATTGCTTACTGTTATCACTATTGAGACTGGTAGTGTTCTTGGTTGGACGATAAAATATTTCATGATCATGAAAGGTCTTTGTTATGCTTGCCTGATATGCATGAACAGACATGGGATGCAAATATTCAGTCATATCAATTATAAGGTCAGAAGTACTAAATCTGTATGGTCAAAAGATGAGAGATTTAGGATCAGATGCCTTACATACACTTGTAAAATGTTTAATGGTAAAGTTGGGTAGATCTTAAGACGATTCAGAGATGTGAGAAAGGTTGGAGAATAATATATCCGACTGATCTCATTAGTTAGCATTGTACTGATTTGAGTATTCATGCATGTAAACACTTACGTTATTTGCCTTTATTCCCTTTATGAACATGTATCTCTCCGCCAATAGAGGGCACAGGTGTCCCAGTCATCTATGGCGCCGCAATTCTCTGTGCAGAGTTGCTTGATATAATAGAATACAGTTCAAAGCAACGGTAAACCCAACTCACTCACTCACTCACTCACCCACTCTCTGCCAACATGTGCAGTCAATGACAGTGTACACACAGACTTCAAAAGGACTTGAATTTGGATACCTTATCTTGAAATGGCCTTAAAAGACCTTAAGATCTATGATTAGAATCTAAGAAGCCGTGAAGTTTGTGTGTATGTTGTTTTTTTTCTGCACTTTTACAGTACGCACGGAAGTAGTTTGAAACTGAAAAAAAAAATGAATGTGGTAAGAATTTGTTTTTGCTGTAACATATGCTACCCTATTATATTCTTCACATCAATGTCCTTAAAATTATGATTATCTGTACATTTTAGCCTTGAACTGATTTTATTTGGGTTTACGACTGTGTATCCCACTGCCGAAATGTGCTGTCAGGAACAGTGTACATACAGATTTGAAAGGACTTCAATTTGGATACCTAAAATGGCCTTAAATGTGCCAATCCCTTTAAAAGGCCTCGGATTTGATGGTTAAAGTTCTGCATAAACCTTGTGTCTCATGTGACAAGCATGTTTATGTGTGCTTGTAGTGATGAATTTTCATATTTCCTGTTTAGTAATCTCAACACTCTCTGTCCAGTATGTCTCAGTGTTCAGAGGTGTTTGATCAAGTCAGTAATAAGAAATATGTTTGGTAAAGTTTGAATAACTGTGGATCTGAAAAACTCAGGTAGCTGTGTTTCAGAAATCCAGGCCTTGATTCTTGATTGCTGTCGCTATGTTCCTAACAACTTTGTTATGAAATACATTAACGTATTCGACGTAATAAGTAGCCAGGGCACTCTCAAAATTAGAAATAGGGGGCACTTATTAGAATATAATTTTGGTGAAAAAAACAGAATTGAAAGATCGTAAATTTTGTTGTTTGGCACACTCGGAAAACGACCGATCTCAGTATTTTACCCATTTAGATATATACGTCTTATAAATAACACTACCTACATGCATGTATTAACTTACATATCCATGTATTTCAGTTAACACAACTCCACATTTACGATGAGTAAAAATGATCTTCTATGCTCAATGTTCAAAACAAGTAGTCCCGGTAATCAGCAGGTAGAGTTAGGCGCTTATTAAAGTGGGGCGCTTATTATGTTGAATACGGTATAAGCAGTATTTGTGGGGCAATGCAGACTGTAGTACAATGTATTTGAGAAGTTACTAACTCAGTAGTTATTTGATATTAACATGATTAGGATCATTTCTAATTTCAGCATGTGTATATTTGTTTACTTTGCAGATAATTTGTTGAAGGTCGTCCAGTTTGGAAAAATATGATGTTTAATTGATTTGTGCAAATACATTGTAAATATGACAAATGTACTTGTATGGTAATATGCTGAGATTAATTGATGGCTGGGTAAAGAAGTGTTTCAGATTTGATCTCCTCTTTGGAACATGACCCCGATTGCATCTGGAGTTTATTTTACAGTGGGTCGTATTGTAGAGGATAGTAATTCCTCTCAAGTTTCTCCTACCTTGGCAATTAATGGCTTATTGAACAAAATTGCTCAAATTTGAATGAACCGATGATGAGAGTATGACAGATTGAATTTGATAAAATGTTTCAGTCGACAACTTTTTTATTTACCATTACCCCTTATTGAGATAGGGACACAAGGGGCCCAGTCATCTAATGCACTGCAAATTGATGCGCACAGTTGCCTCCCCTGAGTGTGCCAGTATCCTATGATGCTGGGTTTGAATCCGAGATTCGCCCTAAGTTTGATTTTTGGTTTGTCAGTTCCATACCTGTGATCATGGATTTCACTAAACTGCTAAACATCTAAGACCTGAAATGTCCTCCCACATCAAGCTGATATATACCATCATAACTAGAGTTCAACTCACTCACTCATCATCATGAGATATATACAAAGTTATTTGATATCAGCTCTGTAGTATTTGCTCAAGGTCATATATATGGTTATAAATATGTAGTTATGACTACTAGATGGTAATTCTTAAAGAATCTTTAATCTGGAAACAACCAGTCAGTGTGCGAGTCCCTTCTTATATTGCAGGGGGCACGGGTGGCCCAGTCGTCTAAGGCGCCGCGATTCGCTGTGCAGAGTTGCGTCCCTTAGGCACGCCAGAAACCTATGATTGTGGGTTCGAATCCCGGTTCGCCCCAATTATGTTTCTAGGTTTGTCAGCACCATACCCGTGCTCGTGGGTTTCACCGAAGTGGTAAACGTCTGAGACCTGCATCACTTCGGGCTTTCCTCCCACATTAAGCTGACACGCCGCGATATAACTGGAATAATGTTAAAAGCGGCGTTAAACCCAACTCACTCACTCACTCTTATATTGCATGTATCAGCCCTTATTTAATGTGATACTTTCTTCACCATTCCACACGAGTGCCTATCACATCAGTGTCAATTGCTCTGTCTCTAGATGCCTCTATGTCATGTATTATAACATTATTTAGACCTGTAGACCTCCAGTGTTGAGTGCTGAGCCTGCTGTTGTAATGTATTGTCATTTTAACTACAAATCAAGTCGTAGTATTTTTCCGTTTAATTTTTTTTATAAAATTCAAATTTGACCAATTGTAAATTTGATCAAATAAGTTTTTGGTATGTATAAAATTTAAGTTGGCATATCTGATCAATTATTGGGTGAAATCTTATTGAATGCTTGTTCTGAAACCAACCAGGAAGTGAATCAAACACTGGTTATTTCCTGTCTCTGGGCTGGGAGCATACCAGACAGCATGTCTCACTGTATTTCCTACAAGGATAATTGAAAGTGTTCACTGTTAATACATATCATTTACTTGTAAAATCAGTAAGCTTAGTATTTATCAAAATTAAGTTTCCAAGGATGTCTAGTAAGAGGACCATATTAATATTCTGTTTTTTTCAACTTGTTCTGTCATGCTTGTGACTAGTCATTAATGATCAATCAGCAGTAAGTAGTTTATGACCAATCAGTGATTATTATTTAATAACCAATCACTGGTTAGTAGTTAATCATTCATGACCATTCAGTGATGAGGTGAGGTGAAATTGGGTTTAACATCGCGTCCAAGATTATTGCACTTAGCGTATTCGACCTAATAAGTGCCCAGGGGGCTCTCAAAATTAGAAATAGGGGGGCTCTCATTAGAATATTATTTTTGTGGAAAAAAAAGAGAGTTGAAAGATAAATTTCGTGGTTTACGCTGACAGCCTGAAATGTTTATGTACGACAGATATATTTGTCCAGAATTTAATTGCCCATAATTAAGGGTGCATATAACGCACGAGTGCGTATTATACGCAAATAAATAAGTCTTGTGTACATTAATCAATCAGAAGGGGTGCTAATTGGGATTGTTCACTGGCCAATATATTAGCAAATATCGCCGTGGGCGCTTATTAGAGCTGGGCGCTTATTACGTCGAATACGGTATATGGCGACGTGAATGCTCGTGTGTGTGACTGCTTGTACTAGTCCGGACTGATGCCGATTTATAGCGCTAGCTCACTGAGATGCCATGCCGCAGTTTAACATGAATACCCCACTCAGACACAGTATACAGTATACAATCCTTGTTTTAGCCCCTTAAGGCCGAGCGCCAGACAGGGTAACAACAAGTACCCTTTCTTAACGTCTCTTGGTATGATGCGGATGGGGATCAAACACCGGGCCTTCCGCTCTCCCGGCGGACGCTCTACCACTAGACCACGGAGGCGGTCACATTCAGTGATGAGGCATTAATGGCTCCAAACAGTGGTTAGTCATTAATCACAATCATGAGTTTCTACACAGGAATGGCCTGTATTTTGCATGTAAAGATGTACATACATATTTCTTGGTGTTTCAACACCATCCCTATGTTTCACCAATGGTGAATGATTTCCCCCACATTGAAGTAAACTGGAACGCCTCAGTACAGTAATAGTATTTTTGTGGAAGGCTTAGAAATGGTTAGATTCCTCAAGTGGTCAATTTCTAGGAAGTATTTTCATTTTTCTTGAGAAAATGATTACAAGTAATAATGTATTCTTCTGAACTGTCTCAGTGCACCAGGGCGGTCGGGTAGCCTAGTGGTTAAAGCGTTCGCTCGTCACGCCGAAAACCCGGGTTCGATTCCCGACATGGGTACAATGTGTGAAGCCCATTTCTGGTGTCCCCCGCCGTGATATTGCTGGAATATTGCTAAAAGCGGCGTAAAACCGTACTCACTCACTCACTCACTCAGTGCACCAAAAACTAACATTAAAGTCTTTAAGAGTCCTGTATTCACTCTAAATGCATGTCTAAACAATTCAAATTATTATTTTTATTAAATATACCTATTTTACGTATATTATAAAAATATATTGTGTTTGTAGAAAATGTTTTGCAAGAAATTGTTGACATGTGAGGTATTCTTGTCTAATTGGGCTCTCAAGATAGAAAGGTTTTTTGACATTTTTAATCAAAATATTTGGGTAGCAAATATGACTATGATGTCTCTCACATTAGATGTATCGTCAAAGAAGTTGGCAAAAATGTCCCCAAGTACTATTTTCCTTCTGCAGATCATTGTTGAAATTCAAGCTAGGATTGCTCGGATCCAACATTACCTGGCTTACCATTGCATGGCAGACCTGGTGCCAGTACAGGTGACACCTGGTGTCTTAAGAGTATTTTCTGGATTATGTTTTTCTCTTCCTGTTATTCCGTTGCTCATTGTTGTTCTTACATTGTTTACCCATATGTAATGTTGATGTTATGGTTTATAATCACGATACAGTGACATCTAGTTAGATTGCATTTTCACTGCCTCTCTGCCTGTATTGTGATAATAACAGCCAGTGTGTATATAACACAAAGGTATTTTGTTTTGTGAGTGTATAAAGTAGCAGTGCTTCTTGTGACTTTTTCAAAATTGACTAGGAAGGAAGGAGATTTTGTTTATTTCTTTATCTAAGGAAAGTAACCTAAAATTATCCTTGACCACAAAGTTTTCATTTTTCCACTTGCCTCTTGATATTTTTCCGAAGTATTTTGAAATAGCATGGCCTAACATCCTTATGGTGGGTAATGAGTTCACCTGGCACAAAGAAGACAATGGTTAGATTTGTTTGTTTTTTGTAGTGATGTTGAATAAATAATAATGCTGATTATGAAAATAAACTTTGTAATAACAAAATATGCATTTTTCATTTTTTAATTGATTTTAAATGCAGCATCCTTGATTTAAGTGTCACATTAAATGCATGTGAACAGACGAAAGTAACGTACATGTTAACGGCTTTTGGTGGAGAAATTCTCTTATTTTACACAAAAGCTGCCAAGTCCTCAATGCCTATTACTTGTTAAAATGTTGTCTTTAATATACGCACGTAATCATAATCCTTGGGGAGATTCCACTGAAGAATAGGACCTCAGTACATGCATGTCTCATGGAGATTCCAGGGCAGTATAGGACCCCAGTACATGCTTGTCTCATGGAGATTCCAGGGCAGTATAGGACCCCAGTACATGCATGTCTCATGGAGATTCCAGGGCAGAATAGGACCCGCGCACATGCTTGTCTCACGGAGATTCCACTGTAGAATCGAACCCGCACACATGCTTGTCTCATGGAGATTCCACTGCAGAATAGGACCCGTACACATGCATGACTCATGGAGATTCCACTGCAGAGTAGGACCCGCAAACATGCTTGTCTCATGGAGATTCCACTGCAGAATAGGACCCGCAAACATGCTTGTCTCATGGAGATTCCACTGCAGAATAGGACCCGCGCACATGCTTGTCTCATGGAGATTCCACTGCAGAATAGGACCCGCGCACATGCTTGTCTCATGGAGATTCCACTGCAGAATAGGACCCGCACACATGCTTGTCTCATGGAGATTCCACTGCAGAATAGGACCCGCGCACATGCTTGTCTCATGGAGATTCCACTGTAGAATAGGACCCGCGCACATGCTTGTCTCATCGAGATTCCACTGCAGAATAGGACCCGTACACATGCATGTCTCATGGAGATTCCACTGCAGAATAGGACCCGCACACATGCTTGTCTCATGGAGATTCCACTGCAGAATAGGACCCGCGCACATGCTTGTCTCATGGAGATTCCACTGCAGAATAGGACCCGCGCACATGCTTGTCTCATCGAGATTCCACTGTAGAATCGGACCCGCACACATGCTTGTCTCATGGAGATTCCACTGCAGAATAGGACCCGTGCACATGCATGTCTCATGGAGATTCCAGGGCAGAATAGGACCCGCACACATGCTTGTCTCATGGAGATTCCACTGCAGAATAGGACCCGTGCACATGCTTGTCTCATGGAGATTCCACTGCAGAATAGGACCCGCACACATGCTTGTCTCATGGAGATTCCACTGCAGAATAGGACCCGCGCACATGCTTGTCTCATGGCGATTCCACTGCAGAATAGGACACGTACACATGCATGTCTCATGGAGATTCCACTGCAGAATAGGACCCGCACACATGCTTGTCTCATGGAGATTCCACTGCAGAATAGGACCCGTGCACATGCTTGTCTCATGGAGATTCCACTGTAGAATCGGACCCGCACACATGCTTGTCTCATGGAGATTCCACTGCAGAATAGGACCCGTACACATGTATGTCTCATGGAGATTCCACTGCAGAATAGGACCCGCACACATGCTTGTCTCATGGAGATTCCACTGCAGAATAGGACCCCAGTACATGCTTAATGAAGTAGATATAATGATCAAATAATGTCCGATCTTGGGTGCAGTGATATGTTGATTGTCAGTAGTGAAAGTAGAGTAACCCCTTGCTTTTTAAAACCACAGTACCAAGGTACCAAGGACCGCCTCCGTGGTCTAGTGGTAGAGCGTCCGTCCGGAGCGCGGAAGGTCCTGGGTTCGATCCCCGGCCGCATCATACCAAAAGACGTTAAAAATGGTACTTGTTGTTACCCTGTCTGATGCTCGCCATAACGTGGCTAAAACAAGGACTGGTCGGCTCGGTATACTGTGTCTGAGTTGGGTATTCATGTTAAACTGCAGCATTTTTTTCTATGGGCTAGCACTATAAATCGGCATC